TAGTAGTAAGGCCAGGAGCCCCTAGTAGCGTCCTTGCTCCTAGTAGCGATGCCCTTTGTTACTAGTAGCTTCACGTGAGGAAAAGGGTTGCCAAGCAGCCCACATGTGGAGGTGATGCTGGTCTCCACTCGCTTTCCGCTCCGGGGGGGCAAGGAAAGGGATGGCGGGGTTCACCGAGGGGGCCATGGCCTTTGCGGACTCCTCTGCATGCTTGGAGTTTTGGAGGCTCAAAGGGAGTTTCCGTCGTCAAGACGGTGCTTTGGTCTTCCTTTTTCGGGAGTTTTTTGATAATTAGCTTCTCAACTTTTCACGTGCTTTGCCTTTCGTTTGAGACTCCCTTAAGATCCCTTTTTTTCTTGGGCAAGAAACCTTCAAGATGTAGCTTTGATCCTTTTCTTTGGATACCAAACTTCATGTTGGAGCTGGTCGACTCAGATCCTTCTTTCTTGCCGCGAGGTCTGACTATCCCAAGCGTCAAGGGATCTTCTTGGTTCTTCATGGCTGGCTTATGGGCTTCCCAAGGCCCTCTGCCGGCGTCCAACGCGCAAACCTCGAGTCCTTTCGTTTTGGGTTGTTCCAGGTGTCGATGAAAGACGAGAGAATGCATTGTTGAATGACCGTGGCCAGCGTGGGGACCACTTTCCATGGATGCACATTCGGGTTCAAATTGTGCACAGACGTATGCACAAAGCTTTTGCAAACAAAACTCTTCCAAGAGGATTTCCGAGGCCTCTTGTCAACTCAAAGAGTTCGTAATGTCCTGAGTTTGAGTGGCTGAACGAAGAAAGTAGCTGAACGAAGATACATATTTGGAACGGGATACTTTCAACTCAGATTTGCTTTTGATGTACAACATCCGGCAGACCTGGTGCGAATGGGATCGATGGGATCGACTGTCCCGAATGGATGGACTGTCCAAGTGGTACAACAGAATGCGTCCCACTAGCATACCAGTTGAACCATGTTGAATCTATTCGGATTCCACTTTCCCTCCCAGCAGGGCAGGGGGTCTGGATTTCTATCGGAGTCAGAGATTCACTTCACAGTCATTCAGTCTGCAGGAACCTGTCGGCCCTCCTGGAGCTTCTCTGTGGCCTCAGTGAAGGACATGGCAGCTTGTACGTGGCAGAGCTACTCAAGGCGAACGCACCGAATCCGCTCTTCCACCAATGGCCTCCAAGCTACTAGCTGCCAAGCTTGACTTCCCTGAACTCGATGGGTAGCCCCAACCTTGAGACCTTTCATCGGCTCTTGCGCAGGTGCTTATTCTGAGACTCATGTTGGTTGGAAGAACCCTGACACCTCATGGGAACACCTCTTTGGAGGTGGCATAATAAGTGGCATCACCTCCACGCCTTTCCAACCTTCGAATCCACGGTTTGCTGCGCGATTGATCCAATGTGAGGCATCCTTGAATGTGATCCAGCTCCCTTACCGGCTGTTGCGCGATGTCACAGAGTTCGAGGACCGGCAGCCGTTTTTTGTATTTTGGGATCCTCGACCATGCCACTTCATCCCAAAACCAAGATCTAGTTGCTGGACATTGCCTAGTGTTTGTCATTTTCTGGTAGATGAGGGTGATGGGAATTCTTCCATGTTTGGAAGTGATCAGCCGGAAGTCAAGCATGTGCTGAAGACTCCGGTGCCAGGATTGCCCAGGCTCCAGTACTGGGGCTCCCTCGCCTACTCTACAACTACTTGAACCGGTGGGGAAGCCAAACGGGGGTGGAAAGCTTTGCAGAAACTTAGTCCAAACTATAGGTAAAGTCAAAGATGAAATCGGGTAAACGGCTGCACATTGCCAGTGATTGACCTATTTCCCTCAGGCAGCAAGTCCCATGAGATGTTTGTGACAGAGACTCGGTTTGTAGAGGACAATGGTCTTCCAGGCAACCTTGGGAGGCTAATCGGTACTGTATAAATTAAGAGTTTGTCACACGGATCTCGACCGAAAGACCTCAGTTGAGACTCGAGACCGTGGATGGAAAGCGTCCCCATGAGCAGAAAGTGCAGATGCCGGTTGTGCATCATTGTCGGAGTGGACCCCATTAGCCGTGATATTCTGAGAAAGTGACATCGTGGAGCGACAAGACCCAGCTTGGGTGAGGCCTATGTGGAGGAGCTTGCACTGCGAGTGCTGGGTCTGGAGCTGCTGGTGCCCTGGATTGATAGTGCCCTGCAGCGGAGTGCGCGCAGAAGGTTTTGTGTTTGGCCCAAGGAAGGTGGAGGTGTCTGAGGTGTCTGAAGTCTTAAGTGTCTTTTCACCCGGAAGACTTGGGTGAAATATTGCTGGTGGGGAGCCACGCACACAATATGGCCTCCGACCTAAGAGCGATGGCCTGCACGTACATGTGTGACACAGAGCATTCTTGCTATTAGGAGCAAAGGGCATCGCTGCTAGGAGCAAGGACGCTACGAACGGGGCTCCTGGCCTTACTACTAGGAACAAGAAGCTATTAGCTTATTGTTTCTACTAGCTTCTTGTTACTACTAGTAAGGCACTTGTTACTACTAGCGATGCACTTGTTACTACTGGGACCAAGAAGCTATTAGTAACAAGTGCCTTACTAGTAGTAACAGGTGCCTTACTAGTAGTAACAAGAAGCTACTAGTAACAAGTGCCTTACTACTAGGAACAAGGACGATACTAGTAACATGTGTTGAGATTTGAAGTCTTTGAGCTTGGACTCCTTACGTGATGCTAGGGACGCTGACACTGTTAGTGCCAGACGCCTCCACCCATTCCAACCTTTCCATACCATAGTGAGTGCCCAGAAACCACTTTTGGGTTTGTTGGTTTGTGGTTCTGACTTCGTTGACTTCATCTTGGGATTGATCTGAATTTCTCTTGGGATCAAAGATGATCAAAGTCACTCACGATGGGTTCCACTAAGGAGAGCCACGTGTCTAGCTGTGCGATCTTGCCCACGGGTGCACGAGGGATCTTGCAGCAAGACAGGCGCCCGGATGGCCTGGGTAAAACGACAGGTGAAGGAAGAAGCTGCACCAGAGGTCACCAGAGGCTTATTTTCAACTTTCTTCGAAGTGAGATTACCTTCATCACAGGGACCAGCACCTGGAAGGAGCTTCAACGAGAGGTTGTTTTGTGATGCGCATCAGAGGAACGACTCCCTCCATCCAATAAGAACTCCAAGTGCAGCGGCATGAATCAGCATGTTTCGACAATAGCAGTCTGTGGTGTCCCCTTTTGGTGATATGGAGGATGAATGCAATCCCCAAAAGTGAGGCTTTTAGCCAGTTTGACCTGAAGTTCCCAGCTCTGGGTACCACGACTTTTCAAAAGACTTGTCCACAGAAAGTGACCTTGCATGTAGGACTCCCAGCCAACCAAACGACCCATAAATATCAGGATCGGGAGAATCGAACCTATGAGTTTTTGTGAACCCCCAAGCATGGGCTGGGTGTGAACTATTTCTTTCTAATCTCCATATCAGCCCATATCATCCCAGCAAGTAGCTACGAACGGAGCAAAGACGCGTTCGTAGCGGGGCTCCTGGCCGTACTACGAACGGAGGGATCGGACGCTTTCTGAACGTTCATCCCCGGGGACACACCTTTCGGCCACCGCTTTGAGGCCGGCAGATCCGGAGCGTAGCCCTCGTGGCGGGCCTCAGATGGAGACGCCATCGATGTGTACCATGCCTCTCAAGTTGATCTTCCTGCCAATGTATGCTCCATGCAGCTTCTCTAATGTGAATTGGGAGAGTGAACTGTAGGTAGTTTTGGGGCAATCCTGTCTTAAAACTTCCAAATCCAGGCCATGGGTCATCGTTAGGTCTATCAAGATTTCACAATTACTTTACTTTGGAGTGATCCCCACCATGGCATTATATTGTTTTTCTTGCATGTTTGCTGGCATTCTATCTGGCATATCTTTTGGCATTCTATCTGGCATAAATTAAATTATGGCATTCTATTTGGCATAAATTGTGTCATTCTATCTGGCATGATTTCTGGCATTCTATCTGGCATATATTCTGGCACCGACTCTGACACTCTTGCTGGCACTTATTCTGACATTCTTTCTGGCCTGTCTTCTGACACTCTTTCTGGCAATCTGTTTGGCATCGTGCCCACTGCTCTGGACCTCGCGGTTCAGGCCCGGTGCCCACTGCGATCTAACTCTCGCTTGAAGTGGAGTGGTAAAGCACCCATGATGAAGTTGACAATCTCAGGGCTTTGCGCTTACTTCGCTACAAAGCCTCAGACCGAGGCTCTTCCCAGGCACATCTGGTGCGCCCGGGCTCTACCCGTTGGTGTGGTGAGACGCATGTGGCAACTCAAGCCGTAGCTGCCGATGTCGGCGTGCAACCAGTGGACGTAAGCTTTGAAGTGCCTTGATGTCTACCAGAAGGACTCTTCATATCTATCTCTGATGAGTCGCAAAGGGTGAGTCACGAAGCCACTATTTTCCATACCGCAATCCAACTTGCTGGACCCACTGAGCACGGGTTCTGCGGATAAGCTGCGGGAGGTTTGGGGTTTACCAACCGTGCTGGCCTGAAGCATCCCCGGCTCAAGCGACGTTGTGTTTTGGAGAGCGCCAAAAAGACCCAGGCTCGGCAGGTCGCCGTTTGGGATCTGGGAGCAACGGTCCATCAGTCAAGGCAACATGAGCTTTTGGAGGGACTACCAGCACTTGGCAAAGCTTGCGTAAGCTCAAAAGACTTCACCAGGCAGGACCTCCAGAAAGCACCTAGTTGGCCCAGTTGTGTGAATTTGGTGAGTAAACTCGGTCCAACGTTTCCGTGAACTTGCAGGTCGTCATGGCTCGTGGGGTCCCTAGGGTCGCTGTGTCGAAAAGAGTTGTTGCCAAAGAAGAGGAAGGCTTTGTCCAACAAGAAGGGCACTTTGTGGAATTGAAGGACCAATACTGGCTTACTGGCCACTACCTGTGGTTAGGAAAGGAAGATTCCTTCAGCAGTTTTTGATTCAATGAAAGCAACAAGTTCTGTATATCAGAGAACCCCCCAAGCTGGTGAATCATTTCTCGAATCCTCAGTTGCATCCACTCGTGTCCCACCAGCTACAACGGCAGTGTTGGTGTTCTTTCTCCTTCGCCCAACGAAGGCGCATCAAAAAGGGATTCTGCAGGGTTTGGAGCTTTGTGCAGCCATGGGGCCTCTGAAGTTTGCCACGGTCTAGCCATGTGCCGTTGAAGGGCAGTGCCGTTCTGCGCCGTCACCGTTCAAGCTTCAAATCCTCAAAGATGCAGCACTAGGAGCAAGAAGCTACTAGGAACAAAGGGCATCGCTACTAGGAGCAAGGACGCTACTAGTAGGAGACCAGCAGAGATGGGCATGGGATTCATGCGATCGCCACGAGCCCGAAGAGTGGGATTTGGTGGCCATCGGTCCCACCTAAGCAGGTACAAGCTCGCTTCCGCTTTCTGCTTTCCAGAATTGGAATGTACCAGAAGAGAAAGAGCTAATTGCCTAGAGCCTGCCTTGCTATGGTTGGTTTCATCCACAAAGAAGGCAAGGGTCTCAGGACCCGTCAGGACCCCTCAACACGACCTCACAGCTTGCAAAAGAACTGTGGTGAAGCGCGGCCATGTTCTCCTTAAGTGCCTCCGACCTCTTCTCGGAGCGCTTGAGGCTCCACCGAAGGTGCGGTGGATCGGGGACTTCGGCCCAACGATCAGTAACCATCCGCCCGAAGTGAGGTGAGGTGTGCGCGACCACAGACCGAATCCCTTGGCCCTGAAGAGTTCCGTCAAACGGTCATTGAGTCATCGGCTTATATGGAGCAGTTTGACGGCGTCTTCATTTTTATTGAAGCATTTCAGGGTTGAACTTGCAGCCAGGCAATAAGTACATCTGCAGAATTCAAGGACATGCAATGACACATATAGAATTTCTATGAAATTCTCAATATGACACCCACCTCTTCTGGTGTAGGGATTTGGTGGTCACATAAGCTTCTTGGCGATCTCTATTTTTTAAAGATCATTTCTTATTTATGAGGATTCTAGGAGTTCTTCCTGGAAACTACTGGCTGGCCACGCATAAGCGAATATGCGGCATAAGATTAAAGTTGTTTTCGCCATGAGAAATGATCAGATCATCTCACCCCACTCAACAGGTTCAGCAGCCGCTGGCGCAGTTCTTTCTGCCCCTGCTGCGGGTGGTGCGCGCGGCGGAATTCCGATCCCTTGCCTTTTGGCTGTGGGGGGTGCCCGCATGAAGCCTTCCAACTTCCACCACCGAACTAAACGGGGCTCCTGGCCTTACGAAGGGATGCAGAACTGACGAACCACCGAACTCACGAACGTCGGACTCGAGGTGAACCCAACAGGTTTGCTCGGTCTCCCCGATTTACGTGGTAAAGCTTTTGGAAAACCGCCGCACAAGCACTGTTGGACTGTGAGGCTTGAAGGGAGTTCTTTCTGCCGGTCAAATCCAGAAGAACACTTCTTTCTTGACCATGTTGGGGCGCTTTGGATGTTTGACCCATAGCGATTTAGCTGCAACATTTTCCAGGAATGATTCATGCCCTTTTTGCAGAACGACCTCCAGTTTACCGCCTGGATTTTTCTACTCGAACACAAAGGCCCTTCTACTGGACCATTCGTAGTCATCCTCAAGCTTGTAGAATTCCTAGAGCATGTAACAAGATATATGTCCTGCTTGGTGCCCCTCAAAGCCTGTAAAAGTGACCAAAGCATCTATATAACTTTATATACAGTGTCCAAGCATGAGCAGATGTCCATGTTCCACGGGTTCCACAAAGACCCCCTTGCTTCAGTCACTAGGCAGGCACCCGAACCTGCAGCTTCGGAGAACCCACGCGTTGCGCAGCGCGCGGGCACGCAGCTCGTCTCAAGGTTGGACCCGGTGTCGGTGTCTCCGGACAGCCCCCGCTCCGAGGTGTCGGTGTCGGCGCGCGTTTGGGGAGGACTAGGCGGAGGGTTTCTCCGCGTTTGGGGGTTTTGGAAAATCACTTGTTCGCAACACGGTTCTTGCTTTGGGCTGCGCAGTCGATGTGGAGGACTATATAGGGCAGATGCATGCTTCTTGACGGACGAGTGGGGATGGGGCAGATTGACGTGCAAAAGATCAATTGCTATTTTTTTCCACGTGAGCGACCGGGCTCATCAGAGTTCTTTTCTGCGGGAAGGCCTTAGGGACGGCCCCGAGGCCACTGGGAGAACATCTGAAAATGACTCCTCGTCGAATCCGCCCGTCTGCAGAACGACACCAGCCCCAGCTGGAAGCTGAAGCGCTTGCGCTCTTCCATCGTTGCTCGACGTGGAAGGGGGGGCGCCGAATGCTTGAAACTGTGGGGTCTGTTGGTGCTTGGCCTCCGCTTGCGAATTGAATCGTGGAACCGTGGAACAGACTTGATGCCAACATTGTAGACTCAGAAGTCCGATGTTGACCAACTCAAGTGGAACAACTTATCTTTCGCATCGATCTTTTTGGAGAATGGCTTTTCCAAGCATATTCCTTCAACTTTTGGCTGTAAGCTGAGAGGACCTTTTTCCTTCGAACTGAGGGGCTACAGTAGTCGGTGGCTGAGTCGAAATCCATCTCAGAAACACTCGTTAGCGTCCGATCGCTCCGTTCGTAGCGATGCCCTTTGTTCCGTTCGTAGCGTCCTATCGCTCCTAGTAATGCCAGGAGCTCCCCGTTCGAGTCACGTAGAGGTCGTTTGCACCGCCGCCTTCCGGGAGCCGCTCCCAAGCGCCGAGGACAATGGGGTGCATGCTTTGGGCGTGGGTGCCTTTGCCCTCTTTGAGCCGAGCGTCGTTCAGACGGAGCCGTCCGAAGACCTATGTAACATCTAATCATATCTAATCATTCTGAGCAATCTTTGGCTAGTTTGGCAGCTGCTTTTCACCAAGAAAGTGACCTCTCCGGTCCATGTTGCATGCTTTCGGCACTCAACGCTCCAAAAAGGGAATCCCTATACGAGGTGGGCAGATTCCCAAGCTGCCCACTATGCCATAGTATGCCCCTCTTTCGTCGGTTGCATATCCAAGTCACGAGTCTTATTGCACAACTAGTTTCTTCCTTGCTGATATACTTTCAGGAGACAACATGTAATTACCAGTGCGTTTTCCATGATTGGTTCCACACATCTATATTAGTGCACAGGAGACAAACATCCTGATGAATGAACCTCATCTCAACTGCCAACCTTCCGGAAAAACGCGCATCACCTCCCAAACGTCGTGAACGGGTCCATCGCGCACCCTCCAGGGCTTGGGGGCGCCATGCCGCGCATCACCAAGTTCGCGCGCAGCGGCTCCGTCCGGGCGAAGGCGCCGCGACCGGTTCGGTGTTGGGGTGGCGAAGGGCGCCGGTTTTTGGGGTGCGGTGAAGACCGTTGGAGGTTGGGAACCAAAAGGGTTCCAAGTATTTCTTTACATACTCATGTTCTGTTTTTTGGACCGGGATTTCTATTCAAGGGACCAAAAAAAGGCATTTCCCAACGTGTTTGGGAGATGCTGCAGGCATTTGCACGCTGTCTTGTATTACAAGGGTATCCACCTACCTTCTCGGCTAGAGGAACTGAACATGTTGCAACTGGCGGTAGTGTTGGTACCGAGGAGTTGTGGCGACTCGGGGCTGCGACTGATAGCTGGCTGAGTGCGCCCTCTGCTGAGACAAGCTTTGTGGGGAAATGGCAGAGCCCTGAACTGGGAGGAACACATGATGAAACATGATGAACACCTAATAGCGATGGCCACCCCCCTCCAACCTACTGGTGAAACATGATGAAACCTCTTGGTTGAGTTTTTGGTTCCCTTTTCCTTCCTTCGTCTCATGGAATTCTTCGCGCTGCGAGGGCTTCTGTACATCTCCCAGTCATGCAGCTATGGTCCTTGGAGCCGACACTCAGCTGCAACGACTGCGAAAGCCAGTGGTTTGACACTTAAAGGTCCCTGCGCCACCAAGGAGAGACTATATACTCGCGGTCTAGGTTGATGAGTGCTGTGAGATTTCATGGGCCACCCAGGTCATATCATTTCAAACGTTCTTTTTCATTAAAATCAGACAAGAATTCTACATCTTTTCAAGGGGCTATTCGGTTGTTGTTTGTCGCCGCTGAGATGTTTGTATGCGACGTTTGAGTGAGAACGCTCCGCTCCCCCCCAGCAAAGTATCACAGAACATCTATTGCCAAGTGGGAAGGTGGATGGTGATCCACGAGTGCGTCAAACATACAATTCACTCTTGTCTTCGCCATCCTTGCGGAATCTTCCGTGAGTATAACTTATACTCATG